ACTGTTGTTTTTTTTTATCTTTTAATAGTGATTCTCTTTTGCCGAGACTTAAATCAATTACATTTGCATGCGCATAATAAAGAAAACGTAAACCGAAATTCCAAATAATAATGATGAAAATCTGTAAATCCTTGTTTCTTTTGCTTTTTTCCAATTTGTAAACTGTTAGTCATACATTGTCTTTAGATTTGAGCGTGGGTTGAGTTGAATAAAACAAACGGATCAGATATTTTTTCCTCAAAATTGAACATGTTTGATTTCAAATAGAAACTAATTCAACAGAAGAGCATCGAGGACAGGCTCTTCTATCCGGTTCTCAGTCCCAAAAGGGGCACGGGGGTGGGGGGATGTCTGTGTTGCGGTAAAGGGTCGTTTGGTTTTGTTAGGAGCAGAACAGTTTGTTGCCAGTTTTTGGGAAGCTCATGGGACTGTCTTTGGGGGAGTTTTGGTGCTGCTGGATGGCCGCCGCGTTCCTCTCTGCCTCCAGGATGGCGCCTTTGGTGTTCGTGGTCCAGGACACGGTGGTGTTGGTCAGAGCCTGGCTCAAAGTGCTGTGCCTGAACAAGGGGTCGTGGAAAACCCCGTCCACCCAGTTCCTCAGCGTCGTGACCGGCGAGTCCTGCCTGTTGTCCAGGCCGGTGACGGGAGGGGTGGCTGCCGGAGACGGGGTGAGGGAGGAGGGCGGCGGCTGGCACCGCAGCATACAGGACGGGTATTCAGTCTGGTTCAGGGAGGTCGCGGTCTGGGCCAAGGACCAGATCCGCGGCTTGCCATCCAAAAGCTGGTGGGCTTGCTGCTGGTTGTAGCACGGCTTGGCCTGCGCCCGGCCGTCCGCCTGGAAGCTCTCCGGGTTCGCTTTGAGACAACTTTTGCCCAAGTCCTGCTCAACTCCGAGGGTGAGAGGGAGGGAGATCTTCAGGGACGTGTTCTTAATGAGCTGGTCGGCGGAGCAGTCGGTCGTCGTGGACATGTGCGCGTTCATGTGGTAACGATGCTTCATCTCACACTCGGAGTTCTCAGACTCCAGCGTGTCGAAGTCGTCCAGGTCGCTCAGCTGGAGATCCTTATTGGCCCGACTTCTGGTCTCTGCGGGAGGCCCAGAAAGAAAAGGAGGACAGAAATCATTTCAAAGTGGAGTGATTATTTGAAAAAAAAAATCGTTTCATTTCGAACCAATTCTTTTCTAAGGAACTGATTCCCTAAAAATATACAGATATATAAAATGAATCATCTCGGGCCTGCTGCTGCTGGTGAAAGTCGTCTTCATCACTTTACATTTTCCTTTAAATTGATAAAAACTTTATAAAAAATCAAATAATCATATTTAAAAACTGAAAACATGTCTGCTGAGTGGATTAAATCTTAAAAGGCAGTTTATGGATGAGAGCTAGAGAGAAAATAACTCCAAACAAATTATTTTAACGCATATTTCTGCACAACTAAAATAAAAAACTAAAATAAACTTGACACAAGTTTTGAATGTGTAAAATCTGTATATATGATTATGATGCCGCAGCTGTTCCCTCTAATCCCTAAAGGTTGCATGCTGATGTGCATTCCAGCACTGACCATCGTCATTATTTTCACTTTTGATCTGCTCCTCCGGAGACCCATCCTCATCATCATCAAATCTTTTCTCCTCCGATCCCTTATTCCTGGGCGGCCACGTCATCTTGTTCTCCTTCTTGAGCCTCCTCCTGGCGTTGGCAAACCAGGTGGAGACCTGCGTCAGCGTCATTTTGGTGATGATGGCCAGCATGATCTTCTCCCCCTTGGTAGGGTACGGGTTCTTCCTGTGCTCCTGCAGCCAGGCCTTCAGAGTGCTGGTGGTCTCGCGGGTGGCGTTCTTTCGCCTCGTGCCCCCGTCCATGGACCCGTATCTGTCAGTGAGAGGAGCACAAGTGAATCTGGTGGACCACCCCAGACGTTTGTCTCCAGGAAACCATGACAGAGCCATCTGCTTTTGAGTTTTCCAGAAGTGATGCCGTTCTAAACACTCAACAGCAGAACCTACACCACTGTTCCAGTCAGTGGAATAAGACATTCTGCAGCGATGCTCTTTGAGAATTATGCATTTGTTGCTGGCTTTGAAAACTTTGTTTCTCACAACTTCCTCAAAATCATCTCCAACACTGCAAATGTCATCAGGATTACTTGGATGTGCACATCATTCTATCAAGTATGGTTTATCAGTCACCTGCATCCCCACTTTCACCTTTTAACCCCACATTAAAAATGCACCCTGCTGATTTCCAAGTAGCAGCGAGCTGTAAGCACACTTCTCCTTTTATGAGGCCTTGTACTCTCAGCGCAGGCTAGCACAGCTGAGGGAATCAGAAGGACGTTTGGTGACCCTCTGCTGTTCCCTCAGATAAAGTTAGACTGTGAAATTGCTTTATTGAGCTTAATGGTGTGCCCTCAGGTAGGGGCGTAGACGGTTTGTAGGCCTGCCGGAGCACCGCACACCCAGTATGAGTTGTTTCTTGTTCGGAAACTTGCTGAGACTCCCAAATAGTCGTTTATTTTGCTCATTATCCATCAGGCTTTAACGGAGGAAATTTCCTGGCACGTTTTAAGTTGTCAGCGTTTGTAATCTGATCATGACAGAGGATGAGTTCAGAGCTGTGTTACAGTGCTTGTCTCATTTAGGGGGAGGTTTATTTAGCAGGGATGAGAGGCCTTGATGGAAGGTCTCATGGAGAAGGAAACTTCTCTTGTAGTGTTGCAATGATTCTTGGCTTTGCAGAAAAAAAACACTTTTCTTTAAAAGATAGGAGTTTGAGCATTTTGTCATCCTCCAATGAACTAAAGTCTGGCCTGAACAGCTCTTTGTGACTCAGTTTACATCTAAACAAGTAATTTTTACATACCTGTCATACTGATACTGTCCCAGGGTGGGATCGTATGGGTAGTAGGCTGTAGCCTGAGTGATCCCCGCATGCGCAGAGGCTGTAGCATCTTTAGTGTCAAACGTACCCTGAAGTCAAACAGAAAGAAGAGCATTTATTACAGATCATTGCTAAAAATGTCTACAATGTGTGACTGTGTCTGTTTGCTGCATTATAAAGTGATCATTAAATAGATAATATTAAAAAAGCACAATGAGAACAGCACTAACAAGGTTGTTGTTTTATCTTGAGAGGCGCGATATAAAATATTGTTTCTAGTTTTTCTTCCTAAAATCTATTTTTCCTCTTTTTAAAACGTTTATTTTATCCCCACATGCAATTTTTATTATTTATTTTAGAGAACAGAGCAGAGTTAAGACAGAAAGTTACATTTTTTCTCTCACAAACTAGTTTTTTATTAGAAATATTTTGTTTATTTACAATAAAACCAAAACTGGGAGTTTAGGCCCATTTATGTGTGTTACGTTTGGACTGTGTTGCCATTCTGTTAAATTTTATATGTCTACACAGATTTATAAATATGCAACTTTTTAATATTTAGAAAACGATTTTAAAAATGTGTAGTTTTAATAAACTGCTGTTAAAACGCGTAAAAGCTTCATTTGGTGAGAAATAACCAACACGTGTCTAAGAGAGGAAATCCAGATAACATCTGTGTTTGAAGTTGAAGACCATTAAAGAGCTGAGTCTGTGCAGCAACCTGATCCATTCATCAGTGCCAAGAGGAAACGGATGAAGGCTCACCAGCGAGTAGAAAGCCGACGCCTCCGTTCCGTATGTAACGTAATTCCCGTAGCCCTGGCCGCCGGTGTAGGGGCTCCCGTACACGCCCAGCGCGGCGGCCGAGCTCAGCTCGTGCCTTGCCGTGGCCAGTAGCCGGCTCTCGTAGACGGGACAGTAGACGGGGGTTTGTCCGGACGCAGGAACTCCGGAGTCGGCGATGGATCTGCCCGTAGACTCGCAGCAAGTGGTCAGAGAGTTGGTGGTCATCAGGAACTGAACAGAGACCAAAGACAAAATAAGTTATTCTTTCATTTAATTGTTTCATGTTTGGAGCGCGTGGAATTTGGTTTGTAAACTTTAATTTAAAAGTGGGGACTCAACTGGAAACGTAGATATCACAACATGACTTTGGTGTTGCTTTCATCACCACCAAACGAGACGGGTTTGGTTTCAGTTTAAAGAATTCGATGTTAAGAGTATCATGACGCAACACACCGGTGCGTAAAAAGTGGCCAAAAGAGTGCCAGACACTAAACGCGTCCCAGAGACATGAAGCTTTCCCAGCATCGCTGCGTAAAACCAAAAGCACCAGGGAGCTTTATGGCTCGAAGCCAAAACAAAACAAAAACAGCTGGCTTACTGGCGCAAGAAAACCCCGCACACATGCGCCGTGCGCCGAACAAGTTGGCACGCATGTTCCGGAGCAGATAAACATATGGATGACATTACATGCGGCTATTATCTGACATAAATCAGTAGTTGGGAGGTCGGGGGGTCTCGGTGGAGTCTGATTACCCAGGTTTTGTCCCCGTTTTCTCCCCCACCACACCGACAGGGATCACTAGCTGCAACGCAATCCCTTTCCAATAGCTGGGAGGACGTAAGAAGTCTGCCCCGATTCTTGTCTTAAAGTGCGTAAAAGGATCCGGGCTTGAGCCGATATAGAGAATCAATCACAGCAGCATCTAAGAAATAAGCAGCCCAAACTTACCTGTGGCGCAGACGAATACGGGTATCCGAACTGTGGATATGACATGGTAGAAAGGTCCCTCGATATCCAGAACCGAAGCGAGACTGGAGGTCTCACGCAGGCTGCGCCTCGGATTCACAATTGATTGGCAAGCGCAGGCTCCAGGATGCTTATAGGACGAAACAGGGAAGCATGTTTAATTTGTGTAAAAAGCCTCCCCTCTCAAACGCTCCTCTACAGAAAAACGCTCTAATAACTGTTATTATTTTATTATTACGACGAGGATCTCAAATCTGCCAGGAATTAATTCATGAATTAAAGTGACACGAACGTCTTTCCCTGGAATAATCACTTTGTTGTCAGGTACATAGTTTTGCCTTATAAAAAAGTAGTACAAA